CCCGCCCCAGGGCCCATTTTCTGCAGGACATCGAGCTTTTCCTCCCCGCCCAGTGCGGGTCCAACTCACCCATGTCACAGCCGTCAGCTCCCACCAGCTCTTCTTGCCCGGGCCTGGGGCTCTGTGGGCACAGGGAGAAGCCCCCAGGAGACTGCTCTGTGCTGTGGCTGCCCGTCCTCCCCAGTCCCGAGTCCCCAGGGGTAGGGACGCCCTGGGGGCACTGTGCAGGGTGGTCCTGGAGTAGCCCGGCCTGGGCAGGGACCTGCAAAACCCAGCAGAGATGAATTGTTGGGGGCCCACAGGAGGACTTATCTGTCCCTCCCAAGCCTACCCCTTCCTCCACGGTTGCTCTCAAGGGTCCCTGCAGTCCAGACACCCTTGGGGGGGGTCCCAGCATCCCTGTGCCTCCAGGGCCAGCGGCACCGCACCGTGCCCTCCCTCACCTCCTGCTGTGCTGGTGACGGCTGTGAGAAGCTGCCCTCAGGTTCCGGCGCGTAGATCTTGAGCAGGTTGTTGGGGGTGACATTGAGGTAGTGGTTGCGGTGGGATGGAGAGAAGACGCCCACCTGCAAGGACAGAGCAGTGAGTCAGAGCCAGAGCTCCGGCTTCCGATGGCACCACCGGCCACAGCCCGGGGAGGAGCCGTCGGAGCCCCTTCTCTGGTTCCCGTGGGATGTGAGCCCAGCTGGGCACAGTGACCATGGGTTAGTGGTGCCCGTGGCGGAATCAGCCCCAAACGCGTTGCTGCTGGTGGAGATCTGCCTGCGCGTCTCCTACCTGCTTCAGGAGCAGCACCGAGCCAGGCCTGAGCTCGCTCTGTCTCTCTTCCAGCAGCAGGCGATGCACCGTGCCCTGCATCTCTCCTGCGGACGAGGGGGGGATGCATTAGCCATGGGGAGCGATGGCCGGGAGCCCCAGCCCGACCTGGGCTCGAGCAAAGCCTTGCTTACCGGTCGGGTCCCTGAACACGGCACCAGCATCAACGTTGGTCCTGGTCAGGGTCTTGATCATCACCGCCATGCTGGGGACCTTGTTCTTCGGGAGCTGCTTCAAGGCTGCCTGCACACGCAGACCCTCGTCACACCGATGTCCCCGAGGGCAGCCCCACAGGGCCACGGGACATCTACTCGGCCCCCTCCCCACGCTGATGCCTGGCCCTGGAAACAGCTCCAAGGGGCAAGGGGAGAGCCGGGAAGCCAAGTCCCCTGGGCTGGAGCCCTCACCAGGGGCCCCCCCTCACCTTCCGCAGCACCATGACCACGCTGTAGGTCCTGAGGAAGCAGCCGGGGTCCCTCTCATCCAGCCCCAGCTCCGTCTTCATGGCAAGCCAGGGGCCTTTCCCAAAATCGTCTTCCGTGGGCGGAGAGGAGCGGGGCAGTCCCTGGAGTCACAGGACAACCAGAGTCAACACCCAGGAGCCGAGCCAGTGTGTCATCCCGCACAGCAAGGGGGGAGCCCCAGGGACCCCATCCCCTTCCAGCACCGCCCTCTGAAAGCCACAGCCTCAGGGACTGCCCGCAGCAGCGCCGCCGGGATTCACATCCAGCTCCGCACCGGAGCAGGGGGTTACCTCCATCCGTGGCTTCGGCACAGCCCCGTGAGCCGGAGTTTGGGGAGCAGAAACGAGGATCTCCTCCAGGAGCTTCCCAGCGTGCTTACGGGAGAGAGAAACGTCACGGGGCACCCCGGGGGGGCTCCGAGGCTGCCCCGGGGTTTTGCATCTCTTCACCAGCTTCTCCCATCCCCGGCACCCACCTGCTGGGGCAGGATCCCGGCGGGCCCTGGGAACCGGGACATAATATTGAGCATTCTTCTATTTCTTATAATCTCACATAAGTCATCTGTCATCAGCTCTTTAACTGATTAGTAACTTTATCCTTATTCTAAGCTCACATTAAAATAGAAGCTATCATCAACATCAGGTGTCCAGTTCTTGCTGACACCTTAGTCCATGCACCCTCCTGCAGTATCAAAAGTCTTGCGTAGCCCTGGTTAATTCTTTGATGGATTACAGACATCCTGTTCATTAGTCTATTCTCAGTTAAGCTCTCACGCTACTCATTGCTGCGGTTGCCCAGGTATAATAATTAAATTTCACATTTTTCGGGCTTTTGTAGCATTGCTTTAGCTTACAGTTGCAATGAAATTTGTGGAGCAAGGGACAAGAGACAGAGAGAGAAAATGAGCTGGTTTCTCTGTAAATGATACTGTCAGCTGCCCTCCTGGTAGCTGGAAGGAGTAGAGATAAGTGCTCCAATCCTTTTAAAGCTTTTAGTGTCCTGGGCAGAACTTAATCTACTTTTAACGCTGTCACATAGCTTACTAGAAAGTTTTGCTTTTTGTGATCCATAAAGCAAAATAGCTTACATGTTTGAAAGTTCAACTGCAATACCTCTGGTTTAGCAGCATCAATATCTGTATAATATAATAACAGTAGGGAAAAGTTACCAACTATGCAAGAACAACAATAGTCTGTTTCTGAGCAATTTCAGATGTTGTTTGTGAATTGTTATGAAAGCCAAGAAGACATGACAGTGACAGCTTAAACGCTGAACTCTTTAAACCCTTTTCTGTCCCTTCAAAGTTAAATCAAAATTAAACTATACAAATGAATCTCAGAACTCAGCAACAGAAAAGCTGGTATTTCTCATCTCTTGGACTGACTTCTCCAGTTAGTCCGTAAGCCCCGGGCAGCAGATAATACGTTCTGTCTCCATGCATGTGAGTGAGCAAATATTTTGGTTTTAAAATATTCTTATTTTCAGACACATGATTTTTAGGAAAAAAAATTCCTCGTTCCCCAAAACTGTCTTTGACCAGCTCTGTTGAGGGAGAAGACAATGCAAGCAGCCAAACCATGTCTTGTCTGCAAGCAGAACCCAGGGATGTGATTACTCTTAAGCAAGTCCATGATCGAGAGATCTCTCCAGCCTAGGTAATGCAATTACATAAGTTTAATTTCACCTCACTTGGTTCTATGAAGTCCTTAAGTGATACTTCCATATGAGAAATCCTCTCATTGTATTCTGTGCAGATATTGGCATTTCTGACCATGAAAGAATATTTGAGGATAAATCACTGCAGAAGATCCCATTACTCTTTGGAACAGTATGAACAAGAGGCTGATAACTGTGTTCTAATGTCATCAGTATAGATTTCTCACAGTTACATTATCATCAAGGGAGCAATTTTGAGACTATTTTCCTGATCAAAAGGAAAATTTCCAATTGCAAAAATATTATAGCTTGTTAAATAAGGATGTGAATGTCTCTTTTAACATAACCAAACTTAGTTCATTTTGAAGCCACAGTTGTCGTTTGGTGTACAATCCTCTCAAAATGGTAATAATATATGACAAGAATTTGCAAAAACATTTTGAAAGCCCTTTATCTATGTCTTTTATCTCTCAATCCTGCAAGTGAACCATTACAAGCATATGCCATACTTATATATATGCAAATAAGGAAGGTACCAATAGATGGCACTTGATAAAAGTTGGCATCATTTGGGGGTTTTGTAAGACCAATGCATATAGCAGCTGTGCACAGCAAACAGCATCCTCCAGCTGCTCTTTGCATTAACATTTAACAGTATACTCCAGTTCTTGGCTCCAGTTCTGCAAATTGCTGCAGATACATGGAGAGAGAGAGGGCGTGAGTGTGTGTGTGAGTGTGAGAGTGTGTGTG